TTTATGTGTTTGTTTTGCAGAAAATGACTGGTTGTTGCGTAGTTGGCTGTTTTAATTTGTTAATATTACTTTAAATTACCAATTTTATACGTACAATAAGATATATTCTGGCATTGGAGGAAAAGAAAGAAAGAAAAGATTATAAGAGCAAAAAATGCTACCACCATGAACAGGCATACTGTTAGTTAAATCAAATTTAATGTGTGGCTATAACGTTATCCATTGGTTCCGCCATTTTGTTTCAGAACCAATGAAAAGTTTGACAACATTGGCCAGACTCTTATTTCCAGGGACTCTACCACGACTAACGGCGCGTGACCGCTTCCTATTGGCGAGAACATTTTATATATTTAGCGCGATAATTATTTATTGATACGAAGCGTCTCGAGCTTCTGAAGTCAACATCGAGAGAAGAGACAGAGTCGAGTATAGAGTCGCTTAGGATGTTTCTCGTGTAAGCGAGAGGCTTTATTTTTTTGTTTCCCGTGTTTTTTTCTCTCTTTTCGCTCTTTCGAATTCGGAAAAAAAACAAAAAAGATTCAAAGAATCAGAAGAGATTCAAATTTCGAAGAGAGATGGCGCGACACGACGGCGCGAAGAATGAATTTTCGAAATTCGTATAAATCGCAACGGGAAACGAATAAAAAAAAAAACAACGCCGTTATACACAAGATAATACAACACGCAGAAATAATGAAAGAATTTTTGCGCGCGATGCGAATTATCGATTGAGACGACAAAATGGCAGTCAGTCACAACCGGAGGAGTCGCGTCGGCGGTAGTGTCCTCTGGTAACACCTTGTGTGTACTTGGAAACGTTTTGTCTTTTGTGGTTCACGGATAACGGCTGGATGCGCGTATTACACGAGGAGACACACGGAGACAGCTGAGAAACGTGATTGTTGTTCGTCGATTGTGTTAAAAACCCTTGCGCATTTAATCGCGATTCTCAATCATTTTCTCGCCGATATCGCGTCCCCGTGCCTCGCACGGTGCGTCGTGTTTCGGAATTGTGGTTAGGGTTACATTTTTTTTCCCCCGAACGTTCGCGTGCTGCCATCTGTCGCGTATGTCGATTTGACAGGGCTCTCGCGTGAAGTTACGGCGAAGGTGATTGGAGTACGCGAGTGTTTCGAATTGAATCGACGAAATTGAGCGCGTTCTGCTCGCTGTGCGCGTCATCATCAGGAACAAACGTGTCGGCGAGCGATTTGCAACCCGGTCCCGATCAAACAAGACCGAGCGCAAATAGCGATTCGATCGTCTTTTGCAGGATAGTTGGCTTTCGAGCGGCCAATATGGCGGGCGCATCGATGAGCCAATCATAGCGCGGCTCTCTCTCTCGCTCGCTATGCCGCCATTCATCGACGACGAGTCCGTCCACCGCGCAGCCAGAGACCCCCCTCTGGCGTAGTTCGCGTCATTTGCCATCGCCGATCTCGCTATCGTCATTTGGCGAGTGTTTTTTTCGCTATTGCAAAGCACGGGGAACGAGAATTGGTACGCGGTGACGAGCGCGACGTTCACGCGTACACGCTCGGCGGATCGTCCGCCGCGGCGATTGTATTTGATCACGTGACCGAGCGCGAAATCTCCGATCGTACCTCCGTGAGAAATGGCGCAAAGATCAGAGTGCATCAGACATTATGGATGGATCCAGTTCGTTGCCGCAGCGATGTCACTTGTGTTTGTTTACAAGCGCGCGGGCACGCGCGCCACGTGTTGAGTGAGGAGGCGAGACGAAAAGAGAGAGAGAAAAAGGAGAGGAGAGACGAAAAGAGAGGCGAGGTGACTCGATTAGAAGGTAGACGGCGCAGGTAAGCGGGGGTCCCTGCGCTACGGGCCCCCCGGAAAACAGGACGGGATTCGTTTCGTTCTGCGAGACGGTTTTGAGGTCGAAGAGAAACGGCGAAGAGGAACGATTGACAACGACAATGACGGGTAGAGGCTCAAAGAGGCGGGGGCGCCCGCCCAAGTCCGTTGTGATGGAACGTCCGAAGAAGTTTCAGTACCACTTGATGAAAAAACCCAAGTATCTTCAGAACAGAACGTCAACGACAGGTGTCGGTACCGAGACGCCGAACTCGCAACCTAGCACACCGACGGCGTCGCGGCCGACCTCGCCGTCAGTCGAGAGCGAGGAGAACAGCAAACGGAGCACGAGAAACCGTAACAAGACGCGAAGTGTTCGCGACAGACATTCCCGCAAGGGCGGTCATTCCGGATCTTCCGCTGGCTATCAGCGTCGCGGCTACAATCCTAATGTGGATTATCACGACTCCGAGTATCATTACGGCTCGGATTTCGGCGACGAATCCAGCGAGAAGAGCGAGCCCGAAGAGGACCCTATTCCAAGCGATGTAGAATCTTCCGAGAGTATAGAGGAGCCGGATCCTTCTAGCGATAGCGATTTTTCTCTTTCTGGATATAGCACTACTAGTGGTACACCCAGGAAAACATTGCTAAGCCAGCAGCGACCGCCTAGTCCTGAGCCATTGTGGCTGCAGAACAGAGAACTGCCTTCATTGGTGTTGCCGAAGTCTTCGGATGATCTGCTGGTTCCCAAAGAACTAGTCATGCCGTCGCTCTCAATCTATGAAGTTCTCAGACATTTTCGGACTTTGGTACGTCTTTCCAGTTTCAGATTTGAGGACTTCTGTGCCGCGCTAGTGTGCGAAGATCAAACCAATCTTCTGGCGGAGATTCACATTATGCTAATCAAGGCATTGTTGAGAGAGGAAGACTCGCAGCAGACACATTTTGGCCCGCTGGATCAGAAAGATTCGGTGAATGTCAGTCTGTACTTTGTGGACTCTATGACATGGCCTGAGGTGCTGCGTTCATATGTAGAGAGCGATAAGGGATTTGATCAGAATATCTTGCAAATATTAACCACAACCGAATATCCCTTTACTACTATTGAAGATAGAATCAAAGTCCTACAGTTTCTAACAGATCAGTTTTTAATTACAAATCCTGTGAGAGAAGATTTGTTACATGAAGGTATAATAAAATTTTACACAGCTTTAAGTGCTTTATATGTATTTTTATAGCATGATTATATTTAAAATCAGCAAGGAAAAGATTTGCCATGTCCATGCTGACCATAATTTTGTTGCAACACATTATTAGAGTAGGCTTTCATTAAAATTAGAGAGTAAACACAGAGACTCAATTCATTATTTTTAAAATATATTTAAATAAGATACATATTTTCTGTTTTATTTATTGAACTGATGCAATGTAATTGTACTTACAACTTGATATTAATTTAAAGTAATTTAATTTATTATTATCAATATACAAATTCATGGTTTGAAATTAAAACTATTTTTAATTTTATTTTTTTTATGCATAACCACATAATGTAAATAGTTATGTAAATTTCTATAATTTTGCATCACCTAACTTGAATTTATGAAATTTTATAAAATAATTAACTGATGAATAACTAGTTTCAGAAGTTCTCATAACACATAGAAATGCACAAATAAATTAGCTAAAGTAGAAAATAGAAGGAATAATTTGTTTTATAGGGAGTATGCATTATGATGATCACTGCAGAGTATGCCACCGACTAGGAGATTTGTTGTGTTGTGAAACTTGTCCAGCTGTGTTCCACTTGGAATGTGTGGAGCCACCATTGGTTGATGTTCCTACTGAAGACTGGCAATGTAGCACATGTAAAGCTCATAAAGTAACAGGTGTTGCGGACTGTATACCTGATGGCGAAAAGAATGGATTATTGTGTAGACAGGAGCATTTAGGATTTGACAGACACGGCAGAAAATATTGGTTCCTTGTGAGAAGAGTTTTTGTGTAAGAAATATTTCACATATACTTTTTATAGATGACTAACACTTGCTGCATATTTTGATTAATCTTTTTAAGTAATCCAAATTTTTATTTTTTGAGTGACAAAAAATTTGCTTATATACTGCGCTACCATAAATTACTCAAAATATATTATTTATAAGTATAATATTTATTCTAAATTATTGTTTTAAGTTTATTGTATATCACACTTTGCAATTATATATCAAAGGTATAAGCAAAGAAATATGTTGCACATATTTATACATACAAATGTTCATAGTTTGCATCAATGTTATCACAGAACACACATGTATCTATAAATCTTGACATTTGATGAACAAATATATGTCTATAGTCCATTTAGAAGGCATTTAGCTTTAAAGACTTTGCATTTTTTATTTTACAAATTACACAACTTAATATTTTATAAGATATTCTGTTTTATAGAAGTTTGTTGTTGATGTTTTTTTTTTTTCAAATGTTAATAAATTGATATAAATCTGATATATATGTGAAGCTGTTTTAAATTATTTAATATGGATTTGATTTTGCAGTGAAAGTGAAGATGGCGAAGTGTGGTATTATACTACACCGTTGCAGTTGGAGGAACTAATGTTGGTCTTAGATTCGAACGAAATGGAGATAGCACTTTGTCGAGAGTTGTCGGATTACAAAGAGGAAATAATTCGTCAAATGGAACTCACAGAGACTATTACTAATCAATTCAAGGGAAATAAGAAATCTTATTTGGAAGTGGAAAACAGTAAGAACAATCGTTTTCGTTTTTATTCAAAATCATTTTTCAAATCTATTGCAATCGTTACTAAATGAATTAAGAAGAATTGATCAGTTGTCTCTTGCTTCATTGTTTTTATTAAAATGTTTTCTTTTTTCAGGTCTCATACAAAAGATACAAAAAGAACGGCAAGAAAAACAAGAGAAAGAGGAAGAGAAGAAAAAAGAGAAACAGAGACAGGAAGCAGAAGAAATGATACGCAAAATGCACGAAGGTGCAGACTCTGTTGAGACGGAACAAGGTGAAGCGAAAGTATCTAGCGAGAATTCTGCTCCAGCTACACAAGTGCCTGAGGTTGTCGGTGAAACTGTTGAAGTTGAAGCTGATGCATCGTCGACGAGTGCAGCGACGAATAACGATAAAACGAACGCGAAAAATAGCACCTCTACGTCATCGTCCGAAGATGTCGATGAAGAAGCTTTGGAAGGAGAAGAGAAAATTGGAAAAGATGGTAATAATGGTTTTACACTCTCTTGACATTGTTTTTCTTTTCTTTTTTTTTTTTTAATTTATTTTTTGTAGAACAAATATTATTTTAATAATTTTTTAACTTTTTGTGCGCTTACGTAACAAATGTTTAATATGATGTTTAAAAAATAGTATTTTATTAATTTTCTTTTTAGGTAAGAAACACACTATCGTGACAAGATCGAAAACTGGATCGTTGCACCCGCGAACATTTAACATGGATGATCTAAAAAGACGGAGCACAGCTTCATTGTCGAAAGAAGAATTGGAAAAATTGGACAAAAGTCTGAAAGACACTGAGGGTGATGGAACGAGGCTGACACGTCAGAAAGCGCATCAGATCGCATCGGGCACTCACTTGTTCAAATTGGGTATGGACAATACTTACAAATCGTATGTCAATCAATATAGCACCAATCCCGTTGCGTTGAATAAGGCGCAAAGGAATGAGGAACGCGACAAGAAACGTCATTTGTCGCACAAGTTTTCTCTCACACCGGCGTCGGAGTTCAAGTGGGTGGGTAGTCTGACAGGCACTCGCGCCTTGCTGGTCAGTACTTTACGTCAGACAATCCTGCAATTCGAGAGTAACATTCAAGCACCTTTTATGCATACAAATTGGCCTTTGTTGCGCAAACCGTGGACCACGGCAGTAAGCTCGTGCGTCAATCCGCGTGACTTTGCGCGCACTCTTATCGTCTTGCAAGCATGTGTCAAATCCGTGGTATTTGCTAGCGTGTGGCACGATCAACTTGGTCATGTAAAACTTCAACGAGTAACAGCATTGGAACGCGAAGAGAAAAAGCGGCAAGATAAGAAAGAAAAGAAAGAGAAGGAGGATGAAGAGGAACGCAATCGGCTCTTTAATTTTGTCAAGTACACCCTCGGTCTGAAACATCAAGTTTGGAAGCAGAAAGGCGAAGAGTATCGAGTGCATGGTCAGGGAGGTTGGCTTTGGATGTCGGCTAATCGTCGTTACCGATTCTCGGAAATGACAAAGTTAGGCCTACGCGCTGGTCCACAAAAAATCATGGTACAGATCAAAGATCAGAATGGCCTAAAGATCCTTGCGCTTGATCCGTCTTCCTACGAATTTCTCATCAAAGAGTACTGTCCGGTCAAAACGGAGAACAGCATCGTGAAGCAGGAAGACATCAAGCAGGAAACTACGAAAAATAACGCGATCAAGCAGGAATGCGATACGGAGGATATAAAGAAAGAGCCTCCGACTGACGGTGAAACAAATGGCGTTGATTCTTCTGTTTCGGTGAAGTCAGAATCTCAGTTAGTTAAATCGGAAACGAAGTCACATCTGTCATGTAAGTAAAACAAAATTTTTTAATTGAAAAAAACAAATTTTTTAATTGAAAATAAAGTTAATTTTGTTTTTCAAAACAAAAAAGAAAAAAAACTAATGACTGAAAATTTTCAGTTTTAGCTGGCATGAAAATTGAGAAAGTCTTTACTCCGATTGTCGAGTTCGACGAGCTCGACATTAGCAAGGCGTTAACCAGTGCCGCGCGATTACATTACCCAAAGATTGGGAAAAAAACAAGAATCGATGATTTTCTAGCGCGCAGAACACACTTGAAAGTTTTGGAAGAAAGAAGATTGCTGCAATCTGTAAGTAATTTATTTATTTTAGTTTTTGTTTTCTCATCATTTTATAAATACATGCAAATCTAGACTTCACGCATTATTTAAATGGCAACACCAATGTATTAACATTTTAAATGTCGTGAAGGTCATAATTAATCGGCGATGTCATGTATATCGCGTAACAAAAATTTCATTTCCAACGTCTTGGGCAATTCAACGTGTAGAATTTACACATTGTTGCAACAGAAAAATTTTTATATCAACAAAAAATTAAATCTTTTATATTTAAACGTTTTGCAGGAAAAGACGAAAGAATTAGCGAGTCACACGCCTAATCAGAAGGGCGGAGATGGCGATTCTTCAGAGATAGACATGGAAAATCACAGTATGACGCAATTGAACGATGTAGACGAGAATAATACTACTGGTGGTGGCGGAGACTGCTCTTTACAAGGTCTCTTGTCACCTACTAACAAGCAGCAACACCAAGCAAACAAAATAATAGCCGTTCCGACATCTAAGAAAGAGGTGCTCGCGGCAATTGGCAGACGTCTTCAAGTAATACGCGCCAAGTACACGACCGTCGCAAAACTCAGCAAGAACTGTTATTCGTGCTGTTGCATGAATAACGTCACCAACAAGAGCACCGCCCCGCAAGTTATTAGTGCGCAAACCCTGAACACTTGCTATTCGCCTCTTTGTATACAAATGACAAATCTGAAACGCGAACTTCTCACGCTGGTGCGAAAAGCGAACGCGTTGAACAACAATCAGTCAACTTCCTCCTCGTCACACGTTGTCGTGAAAACGGAAATCCCGGAAGAAACAAAAGACGCGATTAAACAAGATACGGACGTCGAATCAACTGTTACACCGTCGACTCTAAATAAGGACTGCAAGAAAAACGATGCTCTCTCTCCTCCGATGAAAAAGATTAAAGTCGAAAACGCGGAGAATGCCGACGTTACAACTGTAACGACGACAAGCAACGTTATTACGACTACAACAACAGTCACGACAACTCAGCAAACAGTGAAGACCGCGGACGGCGTAACAAAAGAACATTCGACTGTTAATAGCGATTCCGTAACCGTCTCATCGTCAGTTACAACAACAAACAAAAGTGGCTCGAAAACAATGATGATTGTTAATCGTCGAGGAAGAACGGTGCAGAGAAGCGCAGCTATCAAAGAGCTGCACGCCGATGGTAGCGAGCGGATTTATACGGCGACATCGACCGAGGGCAAAATCTATCTTAAAAAGGTGGCGATTTCATTGGCCGATCGTAGAAAAAAACGCACACCGGTCAAATATCCGCTCTGTTCGACCTTTTGTACCCGTAACAAGCATCGCAGTATACTGGTGCTTCCTCAACACGAACTCAGAAAATTATCCCGCGTCGGCGGCAAGATACCCGTGCAAGGATTTCATCATCAGGCTAAAGCAAATCTGTCAGTATGGCCGTATCCTTGTCCCAGACCGTTATTCAAAACTTGCTGGTTATACAGAACGGTCGGTTTGAAGTCGTTGGCCGCGGCTGCGATTCAGTTGAGAATACTCTGGGCTTGCCTAAGATGGGACGATATGGTAACGAAACCACTGTCTACTGACGGCAAAAATCAGATTACCACCGACACTGAGATTATGTCTTTGGAAATATTGAAGCATCGACATGTCGGCCAGTTCCTCGACAGGACGCAATATTTGCGTAGGAAAGTTGTCATACCACTTGAACTACCAAAGCAAGTCAGAGGTTTGTATAAAAAATAAATTTGTTATCAGGTACAATATTGAAATTTAATGTTTAACGTTGTATATTCACTTGACAAAAATGAAACTATACAGAAGTAACTTCAATAAGAAGCGGTCTGAGAAAACGAAAACGTCCGGAATCGCCGCAAAGTACCGAGCCACAAGTCACGGAGGAATGGGTTGACGAGGACAAACTGGAACTGTGGGAAATCAAGCAATACGGCGATAGGTACATATCAGATGTAACAAGTGATCAGACAGAAAATTTTTTTTTGCATGTGCAGTAAGCTAAACGTTTTGTGAGACATTTTTCTCATATTGCGATCGCTATGCTAATGAAGTTTTACTTGCTCCTTAAACTCCAATTAATGAATATTAAATCTATCTTTCAACGGACAATACAAATTCCGTTTGTATTTTTATTTTTCTATTTAAAAAAAAAAAAAAAAAAAACGAAACAGTGTTATGTTAAATGAATCTTTATATGGCATTCTAAGCGCGGACCTGACCTAAAGGCCAAATCTTTAACCCATCGCTTGCTTTCTTTTACTGGGAACTAACCTTCTGCTTGGTGTGTCTGTCCTGTCTCCAGGTTAGAGAAGGCTAATGCCCAGATTATTACTAGGAGTCGTTCGGGAGTGCCCCAGTCGGGAAGCACTAGTGGTAATAGAACCTCAGCTGGCGGAACAGCTGGTTTGACCGGCGATCAGCTTGTGAGCGGTAAAGCAACACCAGAAGAAATTAAGGAAAAGATGGAACAACAATTACGTATGCAGCGTGCGGCCCATCAGCAGAAGCGTGCTCTGGAAACTCTCAAAAATCAATCTGTTAATTCAACGTCACCTACGACTCAACTTGTTAAGGTCACAGCTAATTCCTCTCATGGTAGGTAGTTGATCAACGTAATATAAATTGATATAAATAAAAAATAAATAAATAAAATGTACGTAAAATTACTAAAATTAACCAAACAATAACAAGGTAGCTATTGAAATTTAAAAAATGACATAAAAATGACAAAAAAATTACATAAAAATTTAATTCTATGATTATTTTTTTTTAGATGGTACAGTTAAATTGGTTTCGAAAGTCGCAATTCCAGCAAACCCGAACAGCACGAAGTCGCAGCTGACGTCTATTTTAACAACTCCCGCACAGACTCCGAAGACTTTTATTGGTACACGGCGAATTTTTATGACAAAAAGTAAGTATTAAAATTACAAAAAGAAATGTTAAATCGTGTATTGTTCGTTTTGAAGCGTGCTACAATGTAACATTGGTTTAACATTGTAAACTGGCAATATTGATTGATCAATTGTTTCATTTCAGCACCGGATGGAACTACTGCAGTATTGACCGGCTCTAGTATTTTACCAAAAACACCCCAGAATCAGACGAATCAACAATCTTTGATCAGAGTAACACAAACAGGTAAACTTTATATTATTTAAAGTTATATTGGTGTTATTTGCAGCAAAGAGTTGTATTTTACTGTTGTTTTAATGCTTGTGTATAAATTTTGTTTGGATGTTTTAAAAGTACATTTTTTTTTTAGGTACTAACACGCCTGTGCAAACGCCGCAGAGAGTGCAACTCCTCAAAATGTCTGATGGAAGGGTGCACGTGCGTGGCTTGTTACCCGGGCAGCAATTGTTCAAATTGCCAGACGGAAAACTGCACGTAATAAGTGTAAGCCAAGCAGTTAGCACTCCAGTTGCACAATCTGGCCAAACAAACTCGACATCCACAACTACTCCACAGGTAATTTATTTATAAAAAAATTAGATATCTTATATGTATGAAAAGACTTGCTAAATTGTTTTACATTTAATTTCTAAATATGAGCGGCACTGTTTTGAAAACTTAATGATAATTGGTCTTCTTTTTCTTTTTTTTTTTTTTTTAGAAAAAACGTGGAAAACTATTTTTTTGAATTTGTTTTGTTACATCTGTATTTCTGTGTGTGTTTCTCTTGTAATCTCATGCATATTTGTTATCTCGTAGTTTTTTTTTTTTTTTTGTTATTTTTGTTATTCTCGGTTAATAATTCTAATAAGTAATAGTATAATAATTCTAATAAATAACAGTACACCATTTTTTTTGTATTTTTATATTATTAATCAATAAAGTAATTTTACAATTGCACGTTTACTTACAAAGTTTTTTTTCATTTATTTATAAAGCGTTTTTAATTTACCTTAATTCTTACACTATGAAAATATTGTGAAAGTGCAAATAAGTTTCGAGCATTGGTTTTATTTGTAGAGATAAAAATTAAGACCACAACATAAAATATTAATATAATTTTGTAATATATATATATGGATAATTCTTAAAAAACATAATCTCCGTGGACTGTAATCTTCGTGGTATATTGACAAAAAACATAGATAAATTTTTTATATTGCATAGTTACGTGTTTATATTACGAATGGTGACTTAAAATGGTATGAAAAAACATAATTCATCGCTATCTGTTAGTTTAATAATAATTATTTTGTATAAAAAATAAAAGTTGAAATTTATGCGTTCACAGAGAATCATCCGTATAATCATAGAAATTAGTGAAATTATTGCAATGAGAATTAACTATAATTTTTTTATATTTTGTCAGACCAAGACTGCAACTGTTATTAGCGCGACCAAAGTAATGGCTTCCGAAAGTGGGACTACCACTAAAATTAGTGCAAATACAAAATCTAGCCCGAAAACAACAGCAAGCTCAACGTTGCAACAAGTTCAATCATCGCCAGTTCAAGTTGTGCAAGCTGTTCAACGCGTTAAATCAACTTCGTCTGCTGCTTTACCAACTCAAGCAACAAAGAACGCTATTGTAGTTGCTAATACGGGACAGACAGCGCAGGTAACAATCTCTGATTTGATTTGACACGAATCAAGCGTCAATCTTAGTTTAGCTTTTTAACAAAACTTTGCGAAAAAATTTATATTAAAAATATAAATTTTACAATAACAATACAATTAAAAAAAAAACATTTTATAATTTATTTAAAAAATATTGTGTTATAAATATTTGTAGGTAATATCTCCTGCTGGACAAGTGATAAGCGGCAATCAGATAGTGGTTACAAACGCAAACTTGGCTCAACAATTGGCAACAGGCAAAGCTCAATTGGCAACAATAGGAGGCCATCAAGTAGTGATACGTAATACACCTACTGGAAACCAACTAGTGCTAAATTCTACAAACAGCAATATAGTTGTAAAAGGTGCCATCACCAACAAACAACAGCAAGGTTAGTGTCATTACATATTTTAATTAAAAAAACAAAAAACAAAAACAAATAATTATTTGCACTTTAATTTTAGAATGCTGTTTGAACCAATTTGATGAAACAGTTGTTTTAAACCAATTTTAAACAATTTTTATCTACATATAGGAGGAGAACTTGAGGCATACTAAATTTATACTTTTAGTTTTACAAACAACACAAACTTCAACAGCTGTAACTCAATCAACCACCAGTGCAACAACGACTACTTCAACTTCCACGACGTCGGTAGCCAGTCATAGCCCTGCCATGACGTCGGCTTCAGGAAATATTGAAGCTTCCTTGCTAGCTGGACAACCACCTGGCACGGTGATCAAGTGCGTTACTGCACAAGTTATTCAGACCACTGAGGGTCCGCGGATTGTGCTGCAAGGTTTACAGGGTACGGATTTCACACCGCAACAATTAAACATGGTGCAGCAACAAGTAAAGCAACAGCTTTTAAAAGGTTAGTGTTCAAACGTCTGCACAAGTACAATATATTTATTAGAATTCTCTTGCGAATATTAAAGATTTTGTATTTATATTTATATTTTAGCACATGCAGCAACTGGCAAACAAGGCGTCTTAGGACCTACGAAGATTTATTTGGCTGTGCAGCCTGTTCAGACACCCAACAATCAGCAGAACCAACAGCAGCAATCTGCAACTTTACAGTCTTCATCTACTTCAACTACAGCATCAATCTCGAAACAGCAAGAACAATCTACAGTTTCTTCATCATCTGCTACTGGTATTAATCTTCCTTATTTTTTTTTTTTTTTTTTTTTTTTTTTTTGGTGTTTGAAAATATGCAACAATGCAAATATTTTCTTATTAATAAACATGTAACAAACTTTTTCTCTAAAAGGTTTAAGAAAAGAAAAAAAACACGTAATCAAGTTTAAAATAATTACTAAATTTGCTACATTTATTTTTATTAGAGCCACAGAAAGGAGCTGAAACCATTCCAGAAGCAATAACACAGACAAAATCAGCGGACAAACCGAAAGTGGTTGTTCAACAAGTAGGACGTGTGACAAACACGACGGTGGACGAACTCCAAAAGGCGAATTTAGCCAACGGACAGCAACCGTCCTCGCAGTCTGTTAAAGAGGGAGATGAATCATCATCGAACAAGTTTATACTAACGCCAGACTACATTCAACAAAGTTAGTGCACAAACTTTAGAATTGTCTTCAACGGAATAATAATATTTATTGATTCTTAGTTTCTTTTATTTTGTAACTGCAAATATTTATAACACGATATTTTTTAATATAAATTATAAAATTTTTTAAAATTTGCATTGTATTGCAAAATGTATATTTTTAATGTAATAACAATTTCTATCATAAAGCTCATTGGGTTTATCTGTTATGTGAAAATTGCAATTGAAAAGATTGCAACATTTTTTAACTGAATAACGCTCAAATCCATGTTAATCCTTGATTTCAGCTATAAAAAATGCCTTAAAACAAGAGAATCTTAATCCGGAGATAGAAGAGAAATTGTTGCAACTGCAACGTTATCAAGAGAAACAGATGAAGGGTGGGGTAGAGAATTCGGTGGCTGGTAATCAAAGTCATCACAATTCACCGGCGGTGACGACGCCACGTCCGCCGTCACGCAAACGGCCTGCACCTTCGTCCAACATTCCAGCGACACCGACAGCGATAACAACATCGTCGTCGAATACGCAATCACCATCCGGAGACGACGATAAAGACGACAAAGAATGGATGGAGACTCCCAGAAAGAGACCAGCGTTGAAACAAGAAAGTCGCGAAACGACTCCAAAGTAAATGTTTGACATCTTTCAATACCAGTTAATTTCATCACTCTTTTGTTCATGTGTGTGCAGAGTCGGTCTGTGTAATCTGGATTAAATTTTTATTGTTTTATAATGTTAAAAGTTTATTATTTTATAGTGTTGTGTGTGCGCGTGTGTGTATCTCGCTGCAGTTTTGTATTTTTACTTTTTTTAATTATATAATATTTGTAAAAATTTCAGAATGTCGAAACTATCGGAGGGAATAGAAAACGAGTCATCATCACCGAACAAAAACCGATCTGCAAAACTGAAAGACAGTCAAGAACAGCGAAGAAAACAACAGGTGCATTCACGAATGCAGGTTTTATTGTTCCGGCACAAAGAGCTCCTTAAGAAAGACATCCTTAAAAAGAGAGCCTTACTCGAGAAAGAGCTTCAAATCGATATACAGGTTAGTACATCGGCGGTCATTGATGTAGCCTGGTTTAAGTGTAGGTATTTAGACTTGACGCGTACTAACCACGATTGAGTCAAATCGTTTTTAAATAAATAAATCGCCTCTATCGCGCTCAGTATGCGTTGAGTATAAATAGCTGTACCTAAATTGGACTGCATTAATGATCGTCGATGTACGACACACATGTATATTACAAATAAAGTAATATAAAAGTAATGTGTAAAATAACACTGTACATGTGTTTAATGTAAAGAATTTATTTCCTTAAACTATCTTAAAAGTAACGATTATGTTGTTGAATATTGAAAAACAATTTAGATTTTTTACACACTCTTGTGTTGTTGGTAACTGTGTATGCACTGTCTCATCACTTTATTTAAGATAGTTCGGAAATAAAGTTCTTTAATAACATTGATTTATCTCGATATAAATGTTTGGGCTTTCATAAAGCCTCAACCAATGTTATTGCAGAAGGACTTGTCAGCTGAGCTCGCCAGTAGAACGAAAGCGGAGAGACACAAGCAGGACGAGGTGAAGGTGGGCAGCGCTAAACGAAAGGCCAACGCTCAAACGGCGCAACAGGTCAGTCCATCTAACAAAAGTGGCGGTAGCAGTAAGCCGAAGAAACATAAGACCCAAGGTCACAACACGACACCACCCAGTGGCTCAGCGGCTACTCGTATAAAGAAGGAGAAGCTGTATTGCTTGTGCAGAACCCCTTACGATGAAACCAAGTAAGATTTCTATAAACTATACAAGATTTCTCCTCCCTCGACTATAAAATTTCTCTTTTTTTTTTTTTTTTTTTTTTTGTTTTTCTTGTAAGAAATCTATTTTACGATTTTTATTATTTCAAGTCATATGTAGACACGTCTAGCGAAAACTAGATGTAATAATCTCTCTTTCTTTTGCTTTTCTCTTTTAAAGATTTTACGTGGGCTGCGATTTGTGTAACAACTGGTTTCATGGTGACTGTGTGGGCATAACAGAAGAAATAAGTAAAACTTTGTCAGAATTTGTTTGCACAGAATGTAGACACGCGAGAGACACACAGGAGCTCTACTGTTTATGTAAACAACCTTACGACGAATCTCAGTAAGTATTTTATATTATTTTTTTACGCATATACACACACAAATATACACACACGTTTTATTATAATAGAGCTACTGTATATTATAAGATATTTGTTACTACTGAAATATATTGTATATACTTACATAAATGTGTGTGTGTGTATGTAAATTATTATGTTATTATATTTATATAAATGACCATAATAGACATAATTACTTACTGAATGTAATTATGTAACTACTATGTGTGATATAATGCGCAAATTCTTCTTTTCTTTTTGAAGATTTTACATATGTTGTGACAAATGTCAAGACTGGTTCCATGGCAGATGCGTCGGCATTCTTCAATCAGAAGCTGACAATATCGACGAATATGTCTGTCCCAATTGTCAACGGAATTCCTCAGTTAATTTTGCTAATATGAAGAACCTGAATGCAAAGGATCTTGATTTATTAAAAAAATTAATTAAACAAATACAGGTATATACTGTTGTGCATCAGACTCAAAAAAATTACTATTCAGTCATATGTGTTATTCAAACTGTAATTTTCGCGTGCGTAACTTGTTTTAGGCTCACAAAAGTGCATGGCCATTTATGGAACCAGTAGATCCCAACGAGGCACCAGATTATTACAAAGTAATAAAGGAACCAATGGGTAAGCGTCATTAAACATTTTCAATAATTTAATAACTAAAGAAATTTTAAGGCTTAGATATTCAATGAAATTTAGAAACAAAAATAGGCCAGTAAGAGCCAAACGTAGTTGGTGGTGTGTTAAACAAACTTTTTTAGTATTTTCTTGATCAATTTATTCGTACAAATCTTTATTCTTTTAATTATTTCGACTAGTTTTCTTCAATGTTCTAAAGAAATCAAAAGAAAAATATAATTAGATATAAAAGTAGGGGAAAAAAAACAACAATCAATTACTTAAAGGTTTATGATGTCAATAGATGGTTAATTACGCAGTCCGAAATGTCAAAATATTGATCATTAAAGTTACAAAATTGTCAAACAATTTTTAGCCGCAAAATAAAATAAAGTTAAACACGTTTCGAAAAATTGCGGGTAAGAAGTTAAAAGGAACTATCAACTCATTATAAGTCAAAATAGATATTACCTCTAAGAGCGGTGCCTGTTGGTGCGGAACTATAGTAATCGAAAGATTTCAAGTTTGAATCCAACTGAAATTCGGGATTTTTCGAAGTCGCTCTCACTTATAATGAACTAGCAATTTACAAAGAGCTTTACCATGAGAGTTCTTTAAAATAAAAGTATTTATGTGCACATACGGTGATTCGGAATTCACTTATAATTGTAGGTTCCTTATTGCATATTCGAATCTGCATGAAGATATGAAAGTTCGCATTTTAGTTTTCTTTCACCTTATGATGATAAAATATAAAAGATGATAAATTTTGAGTCATTCTTCTTTTTGCATCTGAAAATAATGTTTTTCTGACGTTGAGCGGAACGATCTGCATTCAAATGAAAGAGATACCATTCATCTCTCTAGAGTGTCTACCGTGTATGATTTGCAAGTAAGTCGGCAACGTACAAACTTGTATATGGTTTGTTGTGATAGAATATCACCAAGTACTTAGGTAGCGTAATCGGAAATGCGTTTTAGAAAATATAGAACAAATCCAAGTTCGAGTCCTGATCAAGATGATATTTTTTCGGATTTTTTCCAAATAACACCTCTGTTAGCTGATATAGAATTATTTACATAGTTATAGAATTATTTACATAGAACAATTTGTTGAATGCGTAGGTATGTTTTTTAGCCTGCTTGCTGGTCAGATATACCCCGTTCATGACTCTTACTGGCTGTTATCTATTTTTAACTTTGAATTTTTAATTTTAAGATTTAATAATTTATTCATATTAAAAAAGAATTATATATATAATATACGAACAGCTCTAAAGAAGTGAAAGTAGTATATAACTTTTTTACACATGTATTAATAAGCATTTTTATAAACTTTTGTAGATATATTTTATATAATATATTTATATATTTATATAATTATATTTTTCATACGTATGCATTTTATTGTTTCAGATTTGCAAACAATCGAACTCAGGATAAATGATCGATCGTATAAAAAACTGAGTGAATTTATAGGTGATATGACAAAAATATTTGATAATTGTCGCTATTATAATCCGAAAGAATCGCCGTTTTTCAAGTGTGCCGAATCTCTGGAGACGTATTTTGTTCATAAAATCAAGAGTTTAAGGGAAAAATTCTCCGAGGGAAAATAAATCAAAAACTACTGGTGTAACTATATGTTATATCGACTCAGTGAAAAGTGCATGAGAATTATATTTAATACAGTGAATTTCGTGAAAAAAAAACAAAAGAACAGAATGAAACAGAAGTTTGTGCCAGTATACATAAACCTGAAAACTTTCAAAACGTAGATTTAAATATGTAAAAGTAGAGAATGCACTTTCGCTATTTATAATAGTTGCGTGAGCATTTTCCTTTTTTCTTTATCTTCTCCTTCCATTTCTGTAATTTGCGAATTCTTATAATACTATACTGAATTTTGAACCAGTACTTACATATAGAGCGCGTGTGCTGTACAGTTGGTAGGTTTATTTGCAGAAATAAGTTTTTTCGTCTTTAATAAGTCAAAAAATAAAAGAAAGATACGGTACATATAATGTACGTTTCTTTAACAAACATATGAAAATATCGTTATATAATATAATTCTTCTTAATGTAATTCTTTTGTTTGAATTTGTACCAAAAGCTTTTCTTTTATTATTTTTTATAGAATAGATATGAAAAGAATTGGATAAACCGCAAGTATACTCTAATATTCATTTTATTTATTTTAGCTCTTTATTTGCAAATTATCATGGCAGTGATAATTTGTAAGTCAAGTCTTGGTACTCAAAGTCTTTCTTAAACTACTCTTCACACATTGATAGCATAAATTCATTCGTTCTGCAGAGAAAGTTTAATTTACATACTTATATATTTCGTCGGCAAAAAGAAAAAACATTAAATTTTTTAATGTATAGTTTTTAATCTTTCTTGTTTCTCTCGTGTGAAAAAAGGATGTAGAAATGTATACAACACATACGCATACATCACACAAGTTTGCGTACAATTTATTTAAATTTGTCAAATATGCGCAATAGTTATAAGTTGTGGTTCAGAATTCATGTGCGTTACACGTTATGCTATAATTTTATATATGTACATATAATACATGTTTGGCCGTGATTTTGTGAGGATAAGTCACTTAGGCAATTGTACGAAAAAAATATTAAAACAAGAAACGATCGATGATATGTATAACATGTGAAACAGTCCAAACGATTGTTACTACTTCATAGAAAAAGAAAAATAATTCTGTCATAGAATAGCCATAAGACTATTTTTAGAATTACACGCATAATAAAGTGTACAAAATTCATTTATCACATGCTCACACAAAGCTAACGATTAGAAGTCTATTTACTTATGCGTTGTTTTAATCAGTAAATAAATTTTCTATGAGATTGTTTATAATTGACTACTTATATTTAGGCGTTTAGATTGTAAGAGACGCGATTGAAAATGAACTGTGCTATGTATATATACGCAACACAACACTTCTACATCAGAAAGAAAAAGTTTTATCTATAAGAGAAACAATTGTAGAATTCTTTAATTTCTAATCAAGTAAAAAATAAAAAAAACACCAGCAAAACCTACGAAGTTTTTTAATAAAACAACAAAACTTCTTGTTTATATTTTAGTTGTTAGTGCATAATATAAAAAAAAGAAAGAAGAATGCTGATATTTAGTTGTAAAGATTTGTTTGTGGACAACATAAATCTTTACAAGAAAAAGAAAGGTTCTATGTATTCTGAAAAAAATACAAGAAAAAATAATGGCAACTCCACGAGATATTAGATATTAGATTTATAACAATTATAAATAGATAGAAACACGTATGTATGTCAATGCATGTATATATACACACAAATAAGTATTTAATATTATAAATATATGTATANTACTTTATATATATACATATATACATATATACATATAAACATTATAGTAGTATATACATATAAACATAAAGTATTAAAAATATATGGTGTGAGAAAGAATGAAAAATATAGTATTCATTTTCTGCAGCAATGTATCAGTGGAAGAACCGAGAAGTAGAGCAGACATTTTTTAAGTTGTCTCGTACACAGATCTCGTTTCCAAATTGTACAAAAGTACTTATGGACAAAAATAAGATGTTGCATAAAAATGTTTTTTTTTTTTAAAACGTTACAAAAAAACAAATGAGAAAGAACATGCATTTTTTTAGCAAAAGCATGTTTAAAGTTATACTTTTTAAATTCTTTCTAGTAAATTCTAAGATGCAGACATTAAGTAAGTTGATAGAGAAAGAGAACAAGAGAACTGATATACTATTTGTTTAAAAATAGTATATCAGTTCTCTGTTTAAAAAAATAAATCAGTTCTTTGTTTAAAAAAACAAAAACCTGCGACTCTAGATACTTCTTAAAACATTACACCTCTCCCGGCACGTTCTTCTGTGTTATAATATAATATATATTTATATATTTGTTGCTGTTTTTTGTGTAAATGAAAATAATCATCCAAAATCATTGATTTTCATGAGTTTGTTTCGTCGCATAGGTGATTTATTTAGAATAAGAAAAGAAAAACATGTACGAGTCGTTCAAAAGAAAAGAAAAAAACAGATTTACATTGTTTGCCAGGTATATAACGCTTGTACAGTATTTTTAATTCACGAGACCTGGCACACTGATCTGTTTTTCTTCTTTTTTTTCTACAGAGACATGTGTGTGTGTGTGTGTGTGTGTGTGTGTGTGTGTGTGTGTGTGTGTGTGTGTGTGTGTTAATGCCTTAATATTAATTAAATCTAAAAACCACTCAAAATTTTCAAGTAGACGCGTCATGTGTAGAATTTTGTGTATGACTTTATATTGATTAATGTAAAAAAAAATCTATATATATATATATATAAATAATAATAGTATTTTACTTAATATAAAATGCAATGAAAAACTTTAAACATAAAGCATCTAATAAAAAATATTGAGTGACCTAAAGTCTAAACTAAATGTTAAAGCATTTATGCGGGTCGGTGTACGTTTAGATTTTAAGCATAGAATAGTCACAGAATATATAGTATGTATATATATATATACACACACACACACATATATATATATATATATATAGACATATAAACACTCTCCAGATTTACACATTGCAATTACTTATAAAAATTTGCACTTTTAATTATCAGTGTGTTTTTGAACACACAAATCAAAACCGGTATTGTTATATTTATATATTAATAGAGATACATGTGTAATATGTAATATATATATATATTAGGTTTACCGGAAAGTTCTGTCCGTTTTTGGAATAAAACAAAATACAAATTTTTCTTACCGTCAATAAACTTTATTAAATAATATAATTGCCATTATTACTAATGATTCCTTGCCAGCGTGAGGGCAATTTGTATATTCTATTTTTGAAAAATTAAGAAAAATTTGTATTTTGTTTTATTCCAAAAACGGACAGAACTTTCCGGTAGACCTAATATTATATATAACTATTAATTAATATGTGTGATATATATATACTTTAACAACATATAACATGTCTGTTGCTAAAAATACAAAAGCAATCTACTGACGACTGATATCACATGATGACTTATACAATATATTTTTCCCTAAAACGCGTCATTGAAGAATATGATTATATGATTAAAGTATGTCATATCAAAAAATGTTACATGTACCGGTTTCAATTCCGTCTTTATACATACATTTAAATTTTTAATAAGATTTATAAGATCAATCGGGAAAATCATGACGTCAATTTTGTGACAAACATTGTAATATTTTTCAATAGCAAAAATAAGAACTATATAGTAATTATCGTGGAAAGATAAATTTTCAATAATAAGAAAACAAATTACAAAAATTATTATATTTTACGTAGTCTCTACTATTACCATCGGCGTGTAATTAGTGTGTGTAATCAGTGTTAATTTAAAAAAAAATTGTAGAATTAATAAAAATTCTTATTATTTTTGATATTAAAGTTACTAATTATACTTATTAGAGTATGATACAATTTTTATTAATGTCACGATTATTCCGATTGTGACTATAAAAAAGTGTTGTTTAATTAAAAGTAATAATGCAGCTTAAATATATACTACCCACACAGAACAAAAACTCCATTAGACGTCTATTAGACGTCCACAACTCCATGCGACATCTAATAGATGTCTAATGGATGTCTGGATGGATGGAGGATGCTGAAACGCTGGCAAAAGTCCTTTCAGCTGCTACTCAATCGCTACGCTATCGGGTAGGTGACGCCATCTCTCGGGACCAAGTCAAACCAAAACAAGAATAGATAACACATGAGAGAGACAACGATAGACATATGTTTCTCTCTGACGCTTCTGCTAGGCTGTGTTCAGTTAAGCAAGATGGAACGAACTAATGGAGGAAATGCAGGAAATACAGGAATTGGAACTAATGAAACTAATGAAACTAATGAAAGAAGTGAA